ACAACCCAAAACCTTATTGGGCTTTCTGATAGTTAAATCACACAACAAAAAAAGCAACCCCTCACTGGAAAAGACACTTTAATTCTCAAAATTCAGTGCTCATTCCATGAAATCAAATATTATTTTACTATTTCCCCCATAATTTCCTCACAGTTTTTGCTATTTCACATTTCTGGGCAACAGTTGAAACCATAAGCATGGGAAACCAGCAGCAGCACAGATTCTCTGGAGACAAACTCAGAGCTCAGGCTGGGCTGCTCCAACAGCAGCATTTGGAAAACAGAACCCACCAAGCAGATGCTGTGCCAAGCCCAAACGAGTCAGTCCTGTCAGCAAGCAGAAACCCACAGTGTTCAAAGATGCACACAGATACTCAGCATCACATCCTGATTTCTCCCAAACTGAAGGCACAGCAAACCTGGATCAAAGGGTATTTTCAAGCTTACAGGGCTGAATTAAAGCAGGCAGCTTTCTCATCTCATTTTCTACAGGAAGAACAGCCCCAGACACTTCATCCTTGAACAATAACAGCCTTCTCCTCCCCTGTGTGTTTGCTCCCATTTAAAATTCAGAGCATCTCATTTAAATCCATACCTTCAGGACCCCACAGCTGGATACCCTGAATTAGTCTCAAGTGCAAATGCAGTACCTGCAAACACACAGAACTGCACACACATCTGCCTTGGCCTCCGTGGCAAACACCACCTTTTCTCAGCCCTGCAATTTACATTTATGTACTTCAACAAACACTGGGCAGCACTGATTTTATTTGTGCATTTTATTTGTACATTTGCAGCCACAGCCAGCTCTGCTGTGGGCTGGGAAATTGCAGATCCACCCCAAAGCTTGAAAAAATAACTGGTAAAAAACCCCCCAAAGAGCAGCAGCCTGGTGCTGTGAGAGGCAGACGAAGCACAGCATTCCCAAAGCACGTGAGCCATGGGAAAAGATGGAAAATCTTCCACATACAGAGAGGATTCCACCAACTAAAAGCCTGCAACATACACAGCTGGCTTGCTGTGCCAGGGGTTTTCACCTAAGGGAATCATCATTACAACCTTCCAGGATGGGCACTCCCCAGTGTCCCACTTCCACCACCTCATTCCTGGAAAAGGGACCAACAAAAAAGAAAAAAGCCTAAATTGAAGACTGTGCAAAACCCACAGGTCACATTTTGAGAAATCTGGAAGGAATGAAAAAAAAACAAACCCAAAACTAAAAGAATGGAGAACTATGAACAATCTTCCCAATAAATAAATAAATGTGGTTTTGCCATTTATACACAGTCCAAGAAGGCTCAACTCCTCCTGCAGGAAAAAGCTTTCTTGCTAGGACTTGCTGCTTTTTATTGTGGTTTGGGCAGCATTTCTGCAGCTCACATCCACTGCCATAAGAAGCAGAAAGTGGCTCTGCTCCCTGCACGAGCCACTCAGCCCAAAGAGCATCCTCCACTGGCAAGAACAGGCACCTTGGAAAGCCATCCAGAGGGAAACTCCCCCTTGTGCTGCACCACAGCAGCCACACAAACACCCCCCCTGCCAGAACCACGAGCATTCCAGCTCTTTATGGCCCTGGCTCCCTCAGCTTCCTCTCCTCACATCATTTTCCTTTGTGCTCTCCAGCCTCCCTGATGGAATAGCCTCCAGCAATTAAATTTTCCACCCCATTTGCTCTAAATGACAAAGGATTGAACACCAACATTAAAATTATCGCTATTGTACCTCAGCATGAGGCCCCCAGGGAAATCAGAAACCTCTCCCAGGCACAGTTTTAATCTAACATTTTAAACCAAAGGTTATAAAATTGCCATCTCCTTCCTTCATCCCTACTTTCCCTATTTGGAAGCTTTTATTCACATCCATAATGAATCCAGCCTCTGCTAAGCACAGCCCCTTCTCTCCCCACAGCTGCATCACACCAGGTACCCAGAGCTCCTTCCCAAAGCTGATGGCATGCAGGGCAGGAATTGGGAATAAAGAGCACAAGAGCCACCATTTCTGAGGCTTCTTGTTGAAGCCAAAAAAACCCCAAAACAAAAAGAAAACCAAAGCATGAAAACCCCACAGCCTGCTCTATTTAGGTTCACTGTTTATTTTGGTATTAAACAGAGAATTTGTTATAGGAGCAGGGAATTAATTTTTTACACCTGGAATAAAATATTCCCACACAGACAGACAGAAAAATAATCACACCTAAGATTGTCTTAATATAGAGACATCACTCAAAGAACAAATTCCTTTATTCCAGGTGGGAAAGGGGAGAAAAAGGGTGGGACTTTACTGTCCCATGTGGCAGGATGTGTCAGCCACTGCCCAAGGCTGCAGTGCAAAGATAACCAAGAGAAAGAGAGAGCAGCTCACGCCCTGGAGAGGAGAGGAGGCACAGTACCTGCCATGGAGGAGACGTGGAACAGGTAGCACTTGTCCTCAGCCACGCACATCTGGATCACAGCTGTTCTGGCCACCTTCCCTCTGGCGTAGGACGGCGGCCACTCGATGTCAAAGCCCACAGCAGCACCCTGGGGCAGGCTCTGCCTGCAGAGACAGCCCCACACCGGCCTCAGGCACCAGCAGGGCTGTGTGAGTGCCCCGGGGCACAGAGGGCAGGGCCCTGAAAGCCTCCCCAAACCCTGCACACCGTGCTCATGCCCAGCTGCAGGGGCTGGCTGCAGGGAGAGCACGCCCAGCACTCAGCAGCACACCCAGCCTGAGCTGATTTCCCAGCAGCCAAAGCAGAGAGGGGTTAATGGGAAGTGAATCCGGCTCAGAGCACCTTTCCCACAGTAGCCCTGCACACCGTGCTCATGCCCAGCTGCAGGGGCTGGCTGCAGGGAGAGCACGCCCAGCACTCAGCAGCACACCCAGCCTGAGCTGATTTCCCAGCAGCCAAAGCAGAGAGGGGTTAATGGGAATGAAACCAGCTCAGAGCACCTTTCCCACACCGCTCCCTTCCTCCCTGTGCTCCCAGATTTCCTGACTCTTCCCCCTCAGCACCACTGCAGCGACAGAGCCTGTGACCCCCACTGCTCAACCTGGCCTCAAGGACAGCCAGGGGAAAAAAGGGAACAGTTTTTATTCCTTTGGAAGGTGCTCCTTGATTCACCCCTGTGTTTACCCCTGTGGGAAACCATTCCCAAGGGCTGAGCCCCTTCCAAAGGCAGGAGCACTCAAGGGGAAGCAGGAAAAGGTGAGTGTGAGCTGTTACCTGATGTCTTCTGAGAGAAGAGAGCAGTCACTGGCTTCGTGGCTGTACACAACGGAGCCAGAGAACTCCAGGAAAGGCAGCCCATCCTCCAGAACACTCCTCTGGGCACCAGGCTTCTGGAAAAGCACGTTTGGGAGAGGTTGGTCACCTGCCACACACCCAGCCCAGCCCAGCCAGCCTCACCCGACAACTTCCAAAACCCAAGCTGCTCACCACCTCCTGGTCAGCTAATTTATTCCCACTCGGTGGAATAAAGCCTGCTGGACTGCACCCTCTGCTTCCCCCCCCCCCCTTAATTAATTAATTAATTGATTATCTAGCTGCTGGAGCTGTCACGGGGGCGGTCCCTCCTCCCGGCCGTGTTTTCCCCGAGCGCTCACACGTTCCCCGGGGCTGTGCAGCCCGCAGGGAGCCGGGACCCACCTTTCTGTGTCCCAGGGCAGCTTCCTCCTGGCTCTCCACCAGCATCCACGGGGGATACTTACCCCGCGGCCCAGCGGCTACCTCGTCCATCCCGGGCGCATTTCTGCCACCAACAAAGAGAGCAGCAGGAGATCAGAGCACGCAGCAGCTCACACGGGGGCCAGCTGCCACCGCCACCAGGCCTGCGCAAGTCCACGACAGTATTTCCATTGTTAATCGACTTTCAAGGCTAAGCAGAGGTTTCCCTCGGTGTGCAGCAGCAGCACCGCCCAACCACCCCCGCCACCTCAGCTCCAGACGGGATTTAGACACCAAAACACGGCAACAGCCGCGGCTAACACAGCAAAGAGCCGCCCGGGCGCTGGGCAGGCGGCCGGGCCCCTCGGGAGCGGCTGCGCTGCTGTCCCCCGGCGCTCCCACCGCTGTTACCTGGCAGCGCCCGCCGCCCTCACGGAGCCCGCGCCGCGCGCGCATTGCGCGTCACGCCGCGTCGCGCCCTAAACGCGACACGGGCGGCGCCCCGCCTTCGCCGGGGTTACCCGAGGTGACGCGCAGGCGCGGCGCTGCGGCGGCCGCGGGGCACTGTGGGGGTTGTAGTCCCGCCGCCGTGAGGGCCGCGCACCCCCCGGCGCCCCCCGCGCCG